CAACCACTTAAACCTCAACTCTGGCCTGTTCCTCTGCACAGCTGTAACCCTAACCCTGTAGGCCTGCGCTGGTCCTCTGCACAGGGATGAATTTCACCTATATAGTTGGATTTTGCAACGGGTTTTAGTAAGACAGTAACAGTTCACTCCATTTTTTAAAAATTCTCAATCATTTAAAATGATGCCAGTTGGCAGCTCTGATTTCTATGCTTCTTAGCTAGCTAAAAGGAAAAAAAAAACGTAAAATGTCATTTACAAAAAGTTCACACCTTGACTCAAACACAGTGTCTTTTCTCAGCTATTTTTGAGGACACAACTACCCAATTCAGGCTGCTCTAGTTGGAAGGTATCTGGACACTGTTACAAGAAATCCTTCTTTTTAAATATCAATTCATAGCTTAGTTAAACAAATTCACTTGGAATACAGGGTCTCAGCCAAAAGTAATAACTCTAAATAGCTGAGAGGTAGATTAGTGAATATTTCTAGTTGTATATGTCTTAAAAATAGAAGCCAAGACCATCTTATAATATTTGTCAAAAGAACAGACTGAATATCACCTTCCCTTCCCAGTGCAGGATTACTCAGATTTTAGGTGACATCTTGGCAGAGCGGCCTTAAAACTGACAACCAGATACAAGTGGATTCTGCTGGTGTAGGTGAACCCCCAAGGCAGGTAGGCTTGCTCTTGCATAGGGGGTATGTCAGGGCTTGGCCTGGGGAAGGACTGGAGGCATGACTAGAGCGTCGTGTTCTCCAGATAACCCTAGCTGAAGAGAGGCTCCTGCCTTTCATTCATTCAGCTATTTTTGTATTTAACTTCCTTCTTGCCCTTTGTAAATAGCCAAAGTAACATGATTTGTATATCTATGCCATATTCAGTGGCGTGCTGCATTTTCACTGAAATCTTCACAAGCAGGATTCTGTGGGTTTCCATGATTCTGGTTCAGCTCAGATAATCGGCCCTGAGTTCTTACTCATTCAAGACATTTTGTCTGTGTCAGGACTGAAAGATCAGGAGCGATAACAGCTTCAGTAACTTAGAAAGTTATTGTCATACTATGGGCCAAGATGTTACTAAAATCACAGATACTAATGAACACATATGTTAGATGCTTACAATACTATAGATTTCTTTCTAAAAACCTGTTACCACAGACCCTGTTCTGTTTTATTATAACAGCTGCTCCTGGTATTACGGGTGCAGCAAAGCAGCTCCTTATGTAGCACCAGCGTTCAAAATCCCCCCAAAAATTATAAGAGCTATTTTTCACATAATTTATCTGTATATATTATACTTGTTCAAAGATTCACATTTGTCCTCATCAGCCTGTGGCTCCATGCTTGGAGATTCTTCAAATGCTTAAGCTTTAAGGAGGAATTAAATTGTTGAATACATTTCAAACAACGTAAGAGTTATTAGAAGGCCACATTCCTGTATTCTTTACTCAGGCAAAACTCACTTCATGTCCATCAATGACAGCTTTGCCTCAGCAAGGAATGAGAGACACGCATGCTGTCCTACCAGGGGAGGAGTGTGGGAGGAAAGAGTACTCAAGCTGCCGTGACTTTGAACCCTTCGGATTTCAGCAGAAGTGAAAGTAAGCCGGTACGCCCCGGTACAGCGTACCGGCAAAAGCCGGTGCGCTGTACCAGGATAGATCGGCTTCCCCAGGCGCAATTTAAAGGGCCTGTGGCTCACAGCAGCAGCTGGAGCCCCCGGCCCTTTAAATTGCTGCCAGAGCCCCGCTGCCGGCGCCCTGGGGTAGCGGCAGTGGGGCTGGGGTGGCGATTTAAAGGGCCCGGGGCAGTAGCGGCGGCCGAGCCCTGGGCCCTTTAAATTGTTCCCGGAACCCCGCCGGCACTTCCCCAGGGCTCCGGCAGGCTCCAGGGACGATTTAAAGGGCCCGGGCAGTAGTGGTGGCTGGAGCCCTGCTGCCGGAGCCCTGGGGAAGCGGTGGCGGGGCTCCGGGGATGATTTAAAGGGCCCAGGGCTCCGGCCGCCACTACCACCCAGGGCCTTTTAAACCTCTGCCAGAGCCCCCGGCTGCCCCTGTTACCCCGGGGAGGGGGAAGAAGGCACTTGCCGGTACAGGGTGGGCCAGGGCTGGCTCTGACTTCCCCCAGCCCCGCCCATTCCAGGGGCCAGAGCCGGCCCCAGCCCAGCCCCATACCGGTAAGTCCCAAGACTTACTTTCACCCCTGGATTTCAGTCAAATCCTTCCCTCCAGAGTGAGGCATTTATGACAGTGTGGAGAGGAAAAGAGACAGGGCTGGAAACACCAGCACACTTGATGGATCTACAGAGACCTTTGAACAGAGCCAGCAATTTGAGTTCTTTTTCCCTTCCCTGGGCAACATGACTCCCTTTGGAGCTGTGCTGCTATTGGTTCCGCTCCCTCTCCAAGTGGTTGGAGGGTACAAAAGAGAATTAATTCTGCTTTATTCAGCAGTAATTTCCCCACGGAAATCCACCTGTCCTGAGAGGTGCACAGCGTGGCTAGTCCGACTCCTGACTTCACCTCAAGCCACAGAGCCCTGACTATACATGAAGTTCATACAGAAGAGCTGCCATGATCCATAGGGGCTAAGGCATAGAATGACAATGATCCTGCTCTCCCCCATCACCTACATGCTGCACACAGTTCAGGGTTGTTATGCTCTATTTTGCCTCTCTTCATCTCGTATCACATAGAAAAGGGGAGCGGATGGACCTATTGCATTTGGGTCATAGTATTTATGATACCTCTGTATCAGAGTGGTGAGAATTAATGCATCTATAATGTAAATAACGTGAGCTGGAAAGATAAAAGGGCAGATTAATGAAGATTGGGAAATTATTGTCATTCTAAACAATGCAGATTATCTTGTATCTGAATTCCAAACTTGAAATAGACCTAAACTTCAAGCTGATTTTATATGGTATGGATCCCAATTCTGATTTCAGTTACACCAGCTTTTCTTCCGGGGACCATCATTCATAGATTCCAAGGCCAGAAGAAACCATTGTGATCATCTAGTCTGATCACTGTATACAACACAGGCCAGAGAACTTCCCCAAAATAATTCCGAGAGCAGATCTTTTAGAAAAACATCCAATCTTGATTTAAAGATGGTCAGTGATGAAAAATCCATCATAACGTTTGGTAAATTGTTCCAACAGTTAATTAGTCTTATCATTCAAAAATTAAACCTTATTTCTAGTTTGAATTTGTGTAGCTTCAACTTCCAGCCATTGGTTCGTGTTCTATCTTTCAGTGCTAGACCAAAGAACCCATTATTAAATATTTGTTCCCCATGTAACCAAGTCGCCCCTTAATCATCTCTTTGTTAAGATAAATGATGGAGCTCATGGAGCTATCACTATAATACATTTTTTCCAGTCTCTAATCATTAATCATTTTTGTGGCTCTTCTCTGAACCCACTCTAATTTATCAACATCCTTCTTTAACTGTGGGAACCAGAACTGGACAGAGTATTCCAGCAGTGGTCACACCAGTGCCAAATATGCAAGTAAAATAACTTCTCTAATCCTACTCAAGAGTCCCCTATTTATGCATCCCAGGATCGTATTAGCTCTTTTGGCCACCCTGTCACAGTGGGAGCTCATGTTCAGCTGATTATCCATCAAGACACCCAAATCTTTTCAGTCACTGCTTTCCAGGATAGAGTCCCCCATCCTGTAAGTATGGCCTACGTCCTTCGTTCCTACATATATACATTTACCATTAGCCATATTAAACTGAATATTGTTTGCTTGGGTCCAGTTTACCAAGTGATCCAGATCGCTCTGAATCAGTGACCTGTCCTCTTCATTATTTACCATTCCCCCCAATTTTTCTGTCATCTGCAAATTTTATTAGTGATGATTTTATGTTGTCTTCTAGGTCATTCATAAAAAATGTTAAATAATATTGGATTAAGACGCAATCCTTGTGGGATGCCACTGGAAACACACCTACACAATTATGATTCCCTATTTACAGTTACATTTTGAGAATGGTCAGTTAGCCAGTTTTTAATCTATTTAATGTGTGCCATGTTAATTTTATATCATTCTGGTTTTTTAAATTAAAATGTCATGTGGTACCAAGTCAAACATCTTACAGAAGTCTATCACATTGACACTATTATCTTTATCAACCAAACTTATATGTTTACCAAAAAGAAATATCATCAACTTAGTTTGAAAGGATCTATTTTCCATAAACACAAGTTGATTTGCATTAATTACATTACCCTCCTTTAATTCTTGATTAATCAAGTCCTGTATGAGATGCTCAGGATCTATGTCAGGCTATAATTACCCAGATCACCCCTTTAACCCTTTTTAAAAGTTGGCAGAACAGTAGCTTTCTTCCAGTCTTCTGGAACTTCCCCAGAGGCCCAAGACTTACTGAAAATCAATATTAATGGTCCAGTGAGCTCCTCAGCCAACTCTTCTAAAACTCTTGGACCTGCAGATTTTTAAAATGTCTAGCTTTGGTAGCTTTTGTTTAACATCCTCTATAGATACTAGAGGAATGGAAAGAGTGCTATCAACACCATATGATGAGAATATATCATTTGTTTTTTTCCCAAATGCAGAATAGAAATATTTATTGAACACTTTTTCCTTTTCTGCATTATTATTGATAATTCTACCATTTCCATCTACTAAAGGACCTATACTATTGTCAGGATTCCTTTTGTTCTTAATATAGTTTTAAAGCTCCTTATTCTCCTTAATTCTGTTAGCCATAGATTTCTCCTTGTGTCCCCTTCCTTCCCTTATCAATTTTCTACAATTCCTAACTTCTGGTTTATATTCATCACTATCAGCCTCCCTTTTCTTCCATTTGCTATACATTTTTATTATTTTTTATTTTTCATTTATTTAAATTGAATTATTCTTGATTCACCCCAGGATGAATGAGATCAGAATCTTGCTCTTTATTTTTCAAAATGCACTGTAGAGAGTGCAATAAAGTAAAATCTGAAATGTACTTACTCCTTTCCAAGGTTATTAAATGCAAGGCAGCCATTGCCTGGGAAGCAGGGAACCCCTTTTCTATTGAGGAGGTTGAAGTCGCCCCACCCAAAGAACATGAAATTAGAGTTAAGGTAAGTCATCTGGATTGACACTGGTGTAAAACTGGAGTAGCATAGCAGTGAAGGCTATTACATTTGAAAGAAGCAGTTAAGATTCACCAATATATCCTGGCTGTGCAAAGCAGTCATAAACATAAACATAGTTTAAAAGCCCATTTAAGACGAGTTGACAGCTGTTTTGTGTTGCTAAAGTGGGGCAGAGCAGCCAGAGTGTACTGTGTTCCCTAAATCACACCAAGATGTACATGCAGGCAAAATTTCATGATAATCAGATTTAATTTACTTTTGTGTGTTGCTTCTCAACAAAAAAAAAAAAAGAAAGAAAAAGAAAGAGAATGGTCGAACACTTTGTGATTCCTTGTCTCCATAAAAAAGGGCATTCAAATGTTTATTTTGTGCTGTATATGTTGACAATGGTTGGGTTGTGCAAAACCACAACATTAATGAAGTTCCAGTGCTTGGTATTATCAAGGCAATAGCTCAAATTTCCCATCAAACTTGGTGGTATTGCAATGGTAAGAGCAGCTCTCTAATTTGATTCAAGTCACAGCTGTAATTCTCCATTAGCACCTACAGTGTAAATGTAAGAGTGTTACTGCCTTACAGATTGTTGCGACGGGGGTGTGCCGTACTGATGCTCATGCTGTTAGCCTCAGTTTTAAGGAGGGTCTTTTTCCAGTCATCCTGGGCCACGAAGGAGCAGGAATTGTGGAGAGCACTGGACCAGGAGTGACTACATTTAAACCAGGTACTGAGAAATTAGCTATACCATTGCAGTGTCAGAGCCTTTTTTGCCATTCTGACACAAGGGCTATATGTTGGTGATGCTCTGTTGAAGTCAATGATTTATACTGGTATAAACTACAGAAACCAGTGAAAAACCAGGCCTTCTATTAGAGTAGAAGTTTAGTTATAATTAAACTTTGGTGGTTATACATGGTGGAGGATAAAATGCAACGGGATGAAGCATTTTGTCTCCAAAGTTATCTGTCATGCCAGAAGACATGGCACTAGTAAATGTGTTTAAAGAGAGTGCACATAAACTGAACTCCTCCTACATGCCCCTCCACCCCCCATGTGATTGGGGATATGATTACTCTCTGTAAATAGATTGCAGAGGAGGAGAGTAAACACCAGGGAAGATGAAGAGCTATTTAAGCTGAAGGACAATGCTGGCTCATGGACATTAGAAGAAGTTTTCTAACTACCAGAGGGCTGAGGTCATGAAACAGCTTCCCAATAGGAGTTGTGGGGCAAACAACTAAATTAGTTTTAACAAATAGAGCTGGACAAATTTATGAGTGGGACTGCATGACAGGGTTGCTTGTGATGATAGGGGGCAAGGCTCAGCAGCCCTGATTGTCCTTCCATTTTGTCTTATGTTCCTAAAATCTCATGCTTTGGGACTCATCCCTTCGGGTCAGGAAGGGATTTCCCCCTCCAAGTTTATTCAGAGGGATGGGAGTGTCTCCTTATTCTGAAACAGCAGAGATGGCCGCAGCTGGAGATGGGACACTGGGTAGGGTGGGCTAGTACGCATTGCCAGTGGCATTTCTTTTTCTTTTTTTTTTTTGCCTTCCTCTACAGCACAGGGGACAGGTCACTTACTGGAATCATCTGGGTATATATCACTTAATCAGTTCCTTGCTATTGCAAGGGCCTCAGGCACTGGTGTACCTCAGTCCCTCCGATTCTCTGCTTGCAGGACATAACAGTTTAGTTTCCGGAGGGCTGTAATATTTTGGTCTAATTTTGGTTGTTGGGTGTTGTTGGTGGGCTGTGATCTGGTGGTCCTTTCTGGCTTTGAGCTCTAGGAGTCTGTGACAAGCAGTAACTCTGACGTAGCTAACGCAGATACGTTTATGGTTGTTTCGGATTTGAGAAGGAAAGACCACAAAGCAATTCACATGGATGCTGCTGGAGATATGTCCCCTTCAGTTATTGTACACAGAAAGAACAGGAAAAAGATCTGCAGCTGCAGAGTAAACCAGAAATGGAAACTTATGCTGCAATTGATGCCCTTGGGGCTGGTTAGCAATAAGTGATTGATGAGTGTCACCAGGGCTGTCACTACTCCCCAGATCCAAAGCTAATGCTGCCATGACCAGTCTCAGGCAAGGAGGTTTATTCTTTAAAGAGAGGTTAACAAACAAGCACAACACAGTCCTAACTCAGCTCTTGGCCCCAGGTTTCAGGGCCCCAACCTCCATCCGCTCTGCTCCTCCCAGAGCAGCAGCTACAGGGCCGTGTCCCTGACTCTAGGGACTACGGTGACCAGATAGCAAGTGTGAAAAATTAGGACAGGGATGGGGGGCAATAAGCACTTATGTAAGATAAAGCCCCAAATATTGGGACTGTCACTATAAAATCGGGACATCTGGTCACCCTACTAGGGACCCACCACAGAAGCTAGCTCCACTCCAATACAGCTTCCTCCTTAGGGCTCAGCCTATCTCAATCCTTCCTTCTCCCTGCTGCCTATTAGCAGCCCTTTATAGGCCCAGCTGTAGCCCAGACCTCTTTAATTATCTGTATTGGGCTTACCTGCTCCAGTCCAGGGCACTGGACTATCCACAGAGACCAGCTACCCTGTGACAACGAGCAAAGCAGGTGACTCTTCCCTCTCCCATCTGATGATCAGCTATTGTTGTCATGCAATCAGGCTTTCCCATTCCCCTCTGTAACCTCTGGGGCACTTTTTTGGTGTTGTTTTTGGAGTGGGAGGTTGTTTTGTTTTTACACAGCAGCACAGTGATGCAACCTTCTCTTTTCTGGCTTGCTGCATCACCACCCTCAGTTCATCCAAAATGTGGCTGCTAAAATTATCTTCTTTGCCCGCTGATCTAAACATCTCACCCCCTCTTTGAATTCCTCCACTGTTTCCCATGTGTCTACCAAAGAGAATTTAAACTTCTTGTCCTCACCTTTAAGGCTCTACCCAACTCATTTCTGGCTTTCATCTATCTCATCCCTTGTCTCCCTCTGATTATGCCAGTCTCTGTGCCTTGTTGCTGTCCCACTCCCAGTTTTTTACCCATGAAAGCTTATGCCCAAATAAATCTTGGTCTTTAAGGTGCCACCAGACAACAGAGAATTAGACATATTTAGGGCCTACAAGAGTTCCAAGAAGGGAGAACTTGCAGGGCTGGGCCTATGAGACTTTGAAAAAAACAACAGCAAATTTTGTAAATAACTTTAAACAAACAAACAGTATCTGATAAATATTGATTTTTCTAGGTGACAAGGTTATCCCACTCTACGTCCCTCAGTGTGGCCAATGCAAGTTCTGCTTGAATCCAAAGACCAACCTTTGCGAAAAGATCAGGTAGGAATTGCAAATACTGTATTTTACCTTGCAGGGAGCAGTAGGAGAGGCTTTTACATTGGGCCACAGCTGGGAGGGGCTGAGACACAATCATGGAGGCAGTTACAGTTCCATGATTCTCTGTTCAGCTTCATCCTGGGGACGGCTCTAACTTTCACGGGCTGGGATAGACCATCCACCAACTGGCAGTAGCTGGAGCACAGTATGCTCTAGCCATGCCTTATCCCTCCTTCCCCTAACATGTCTCTTACACTGGGATGAGAATGATGGTATAGGAGCCAGCTACCCTTCTTTATGGGTCTCCCGCCATACCAGGGAAAGATCCTGCAGTGGAGATGCAGCGGCTTTCCTCTCCCTTTTTGTGCCAAGAGGAGTCGGGTCAGAGAACACTTCACTTTGTAGTCATCTTGCTTGCCAGACACTTAGAAAGTGTAATGAATAAAATACTAGTCTTTGCCAGCTTTTAAATCCAAGTGATAGCCACAGGAGATTTATTCTCAAGTATCTAGCTAAAATATCTGACTGTTTGGAGCCAGGTGACACACTAATCTAGCAGAACATCTGGAGACCCCAGTTAAAATCCTTGCTCAGGACAGACATGAAAGTGAGTTTGATGGTTGGTCTCCTCCTAAACGCTACTGTTCATATTCCACAAAGACCAACTCACCATTTGGCAAAAAATTGACAACCTTTGTTCAAGTGCAGCCCATGACTGCAGTAGCAAAAGGATGGTCATAGAATCATAGAATATCAGGGTTGGAAGGGACCTCAGGAGGTCATCTAGTCCAACCCCCTGCTCAAAGCAGGACCGATCCCCAACTAAATCATCCCAGCCAGGGCTTTGTCAAGCCTGACCTTAAAAATATCTAAGGAAGGAGATTCCACCATCTCCCTAGGTAACGCATTCCAGTGTTTCACCACCCTCCTAGTGAAAAAGTTTTTCCTAATATCCAACCTAAACCTCTCCCACTGCAACTTGAGACCATTACTCCTTGTTCTGTCATCTGCTACCACTGAGAACAGTCTAGAACCATCCTCTTTGGAACCCCCTTTCAGGTAGTTGAAAGCAGCTATCAGATCCCCCCTCATTCTTCTCTTCCGCAGACTAAACATCCCCAGTTCCCTCAGCCTCTCCTCGTAAGTCATGTGTTCCAGCCCCCTAATCATTTTTGTTGTCTTCTGCTGGACTCTTTCCAATTTTTCCACATCCTTCTTGTAGGGTGGGGCCCAAAACTGGACACAGTACTCCAGATGAGGCCTCACCAATGTCGAATAGAGGGGAACGATCACGTCCCTCGATCTGCTCGCTATGCCCCTACTTATACATCCCAAAATGCCATTGGCCTTCTTGGCAACAAGGGCACACTGCTGACTCATATGGTGAGTCAGAGTAGAGGGACACTGACAGCAGGGGACGGTGGGACGGTGAAGTATAAATTCTTTTGTTGTTGTTGTCGCTATAGCAAAATTAAAACACCTATTTCTGATCAAGACCTGATGCCTGACGGTACCAGCAGGTTCACCTGCAAAGGGAAGCAGATTTACCACTTCATGGGGACTAGCACCTTCTCCGAATACACCGTTGTAGCGGAAACCTCTCTTGTCAAAATTGATGCTGCTGCTCCTCTGGATAAAGTCTGTCTGATGGGCTGTGGATTTTCCACAGGTTATGGGTCTGCCCTCAATACTGCCAAGGTGAGCTAATTAAGACCCAACTCCTACTCACTGCACTAACATGAATAGTCCCTTTGATTAGGAACTTTTCCATATGACTGTAATGAATTCAGTAGGTCTACTCACATGAAAAAGTGAGCACTATTGCCTCTGAAGGTTCATTTAAAAAAAGAATATGCTCTTCTGGAACATTAACTGTAACCATTTTTTATTATACATACATATATATGTATGCATAATGTAAAATAATTTAATAAAAAAGTTTTACTCAGTGTTTTGTTACTGTAGTTTTATACAGCATTTTATATATTTTTAAAATCTTTCGTACAGTTTTAGTTTTAAAAACAAAACTGTACTTGATGGTTTATATACAACCTCAGTTTCAAGTTTCCACATTTCTGGTGTTAATGAATGGTAATGAACACTAAGCCAACACACCAAGTTCCATTTGAGAGGCGTGGTCTGGGTGAGTCATGAATCAAAGGTCTTGATATTAAACACACAAGAAGTGGATCATTTCTTATGTTTTTCAAACAATAAAAAGGATATGGCCCCATCCAACCTGTGCATTTGCTGTGGTTTATTGACATGAGCCGGAGATCACAGACAAACATTTAGAAAGCTCCTTTTGTCTCCAGAGTTCTAAAGCCATTTCCTAACCTTTCTTATTATTGCAGGTGGAACCTGGGTCTACTTGTGCTGTATTTGGCTTGGGAGGAGTCGGCCTGTCAGCTGTCATAGGCTGTAAAGCTGCTGGAGCTTCCCGGATCTTTGCAATTGACATCAACAACAATAAATTTTCATTGGCAAAACAGTTAGGAGCCACTGACTGCCTCAATCCTCAGGATTTCAAGAAGCCCATTCAGGAGGTTATAACTGAAATGAGCAATGGTGGTGTTGATTTTGCCATTGAATGCGTCGGTAACGTTGCTGTCATGGTATGTGTCATGTTCTTCTGTACCAGATATGGACTGGTCATAGAGCTTGCTTATGCACACCAGATGTGTTCACCATAAGATCCTTTACTGCTCTGCCAGGTGTGGCTAAGGTTAGCTTTAAATAAGGTATTTTACACACAGTGCCACCTAATGACTGAACTGTATAATACAGTTTTGCGTTCCATTACAGTATGTGTATTTTGGTCTAGGTCTGTGCTCTGATACAGTGGTAATAGGTGTGATAAGGACTCTTATGTAGAATCATAGAATATCAGGGTTGGAAGGGACCTCAGGAGGTCATCTAGTCCAACCCCCTGCTCAAAAGCAGGACCCATACCCAATTAAATCATCCCAGCCAGGGCTTTGTCAAGCCTGACCTTAAAAACTTCTAAGGAAGGAGATTCCACCACCTCCCTAGGCAACGCATTCCAGTGTTTCACCACCCTCCTAGTGAAAAAGTTTTTCCTAATATCCAACCTAAACCTCCCCCACTGCAACTTGAGACCATTACTCCTTGTCCTGTCCTCTTCCACCACTGAGAATAGTCTAGAACCATCCTCTCTGGAACTACCTCTCAGGTAGTTGAAAGCAGCTATCAAATCCCCCATGTAACCCTTCTGCCCGTCAGAGTTGGCAGCAACAAGGGCCAGGTTCAGTATTTAGGGGTTCCATTTCAATAACACAATGCAAAAGCTGCTCGAGCCCCCATCCAGTGACCTGGGACAATTACATACCACCCCCCTGGGCACCTCTAAGAGGCAATACTTCCCCTCTCGCAAGCACAGAGTCTGAGTATAGCAAAAGCCTTTTAATAAAGGAGGGAAACAACGCGGCATTATGTTGAGGAAACACCACAAACAGGATTCATAACACAAACCATGAGCAAAAGACCCACCCCCAAGTAAGTTTGGCAGTGTCTTTTCCCCTCAGGGTCTTAAATCCAGCCATCCAACAGTCGCTCCTCCCACAGTTTCTGTCCTTGGTCAGTGCAGCCCCCAGAGTTCAGAAGTTCATCTGCAGAGTTTACCTCCCAATCTGGGTGGACGTGGGGGGAGATATGGGGGGGGGGGCATCTTACATGCTCCACTGCTCGGGTCGACGGCCTCTCCGTGGGGTTCTGCTGCAGTCTTCACTGCCAGCTGCGCCTCTCCTCCAGCCACCCAGCTGGCCGCTCCTCTCCACTAGCCATCCCGCTAGCCACTCTTCTCCGCCAGCTGCCCTGCTAACTGCTCACCAATATATCTTCAGGCCCCCTGCTTAACACAGCTCCCAGTGATTTCAGCTTTAGTAACTTCAGCCCTCAGTGATTTCAGCTATTGGGGGGTAGGGGGGGACCAGAGCTGGCACACTCAGAACCTCTAGCCCAAAGTAGGTCTAATGCTTAGACCTAGGAATCAGTTATTTCAGCTCTGTAGCATATAACAAGACTCCTAATGGAGTCAAAATTAGCTCTGTTATTACACAGTAGTGACAGGAGGGAATCAACATAGTTTGGGGCCCATAATGCCAGGTACACATACCTATCCCCAGCCTCTCTCAGTTCAGTAGGCTTGGGAACCCTTGCCTAGCAAGTGCTATTTAGTTGAGGGCGAGTCCCTCCACCATAAAATGCCAAGTACAGTTCTACTGTCCTTGATTCCATAACCAAGATAACAATACTTTGTTACTCCTACCCCAATAACAAAGAGACTGGGGGTCCCACAGTAGCCAAAGTGACTATTTGGGCAAGCAGTCCCATCATGCTAGGCCAGGTGGGTGTGCCCATGCAAATGAGATCAGCTCCTGAAGTCCTTTTCCACAACTCACCACCAGATGTCAGGGTAGAGCTCATTCTGACTCTGCTTACACTTAGATGGGATAAACAGTCGGATATAATGAGATTGTTGTTTTTATTAAAACAGACAGTAATAATTCATTACAATTAAATACCCTCCAAGTGTTATGTACTAAAGATCCTCCCAATAACTGTCTCCCCCAATGGCTCTTCTTCCCAAAATGGTACACTCCTGATATGAATAGAATAAAGCTGCTAACATTAAGTTTCTGTGGGTTATACGGGTGCCTTTACAGAGGTTAATTAAGGGTGCACTTCCCTAGCTGCAACTTCCTGAGGTGTTGATTCTGAGGCAAGAAAAGCTCACGAGGCACCTGTTGTTGCTGCACGCTTTAATGGAGAAGGGGAGACCAGCCCCTTTTCTGGGATGGATTGGTAGCATGGCCTTTGCTGTCAGAATTTTCCTCTTCTTTCAAACCTGAAGTACAAGGAACAAGATTGTTCTTGGCCCCTACACAGAGACACAAGAAGGTCCTTGTTCCCTCTTCCTCGCTCCCTGGTACCTAGCTCTGTGCAGGTTTATGATCTAGCAACATGCCTTAATCTGGCCACTGAATCATATGGAAAGCCAAAGGCAACCTCACCTATTCCCACTAGATGCCAACACAGACACTGCCCATCCCGCTGTTTGGGAAAGAGAACTATATAAGCAAGCCATTACATAAAGCATTTCCGTTCAGCATCTTCTCCAGTTCTCACTAGTTGCCCCAGTCAACAAGGTCTCCAGATCAGGCTGCAAATCTGTCACCTCAAAGTTTAATTTCCAGCCCTCAATAACACAGACTGAATGTACGTTCTCCTCACCTTTATATGCTGCCCTCAATGGGGTGCATACAAAGTTCTCCTATACATGCTTTTGGAATTGTAGAGATTCATATTGTACCATTTCCCAAGCCAGAAATCTTTAAAAAAAAATTATTAAATTACTCAATCTTTTTTCTTGGTAATTATTTACTAATTACTAACTTCTTACATCCTACTTAACCCATGCAAACTGATACCAAGTTTACCACAGAGCTGCAGCATTTATCCTATCTCCCAGCAAAAGTTTGGATTCAGGAGTTAAGAAATCATGGGATATCCTCTATAAACCAAATTACTGTGTCACATGAAGTATTATCATTTACAAGAATATGATTCCAGTGCCAAATGTTGGTTCTGTTCAACCCAATGAGAGTACTGTCATGGCCTTTATTGGAATCAGGATTTGACTTTTAATGTAAATGAAATAAGACTGAACTACTAAAACAAGCATAATACTGTAAAATATCATATATCTTTAAGACAGGTGATCATGGTATTGTTCAGGTAAGACTAAACACAGTACTGACTTTTTGGAGGGCATAGAGTTCATGCAATCTTTCTGCATAATTATGTTAAGTCAATCTTACTTGTTTTGCAAATTTTCAGATCACCTTTATGTCTAGTTGAATTGCAGTAGTGGGGAGGGGGATCTGTTCCATCTTTTCATTTTAAGCACCTTTGAACACATTTATTGCCATGATGAAAACTACCATTTTTCCTGCGCTTTGTTTTCTGGCAATTAGCCAGTTTCTGATCCATGACAGTAATTTACCTCTTACCTCATGGCTAGCATCTCAGTCCTCACTCAAACTCCGATTAAAGTCCATGGAAGTTTAATGAACTATGAACTGAGTAAGAGCCTAAAGTCTGATCACACAAGCAGTAATGTGCCCTTTAAATCTGAGTTTGCTTTGTCTTTCAGAAAGCTGCCCTGGAGTGCATCATGGTGGGCTGGGGAACTTGTACAATTGTTGGAGTGGCTCCGGGTGGACAATCAATCCCTGTTTCTCCAATGCAGCTGATAATGGGAAAGAAAATAAATGCCACTTTCTTTGGAGGTCCGTTTTCCCACATAGTTTAGCCATAAGGCAGTGGGAGGGTGGAAGAACAGTTATATCCATCTCATCTAAGATATACAGGTTTCAGAGTGTTTGCTGTGTTAATCTGTATCAGCAAAAACAACAAGGAGTACTTGTGGCACCTTGGAGACTAACAAATTTATTTGGGCATAAGCTTTTGTGGGCTAAAACCCACTTCATCAGATGCATGGAATGGAAAATACAGTACGAAGATATATATACACAGTTCATGAAAAGATGGGAGTTGCCTTACCAAGTGTGGGGACGGGGGGTAAGATCTAACGAGATAATTCAATTAAAGTGGGCTATTTCAAATTAGGCCTGAATAAAGACTGGGAGTGGATGGGTCACTACAAGAACTAATTTCCCCAAGCTAATTTCCCCCTACTGTTACTCACACCTTCTTGTCAACTGTTTGAAATGGGCCACTCTGATTACCACTACAAAAGTGATTTTTTCTCCTGTTGATAATAGCCCACTTTAATTGAATTATCTCGTTAGAACTGACCCCCCCCACACTTGGTAAGGCAACTCCCATCTTTTCATGTACTGTGCATATATATCTTCCTACTGTATTTTCCACTCCATGCATCTGATGAAGTAGGTTTTAGCCCATGAAAGCTTATGCCCAAATAAATCTGTTAGTCTCTAAGGTGCCAAAAGGACTCCTCGTTGTTTTTTCTAAGATATGCAGTATTTCCCAAAACACGATGGCAGTTGTTTTGCCACCACGTTTGGGGAAATATAAACAAAAATAGAAAAAGACTGTCTACCATCCAATTCAAGAAAATTAATCTAAAATTGCACAATCTTTCCCCCTTTTCAGACAGCATTCTTGGAAGCCAAGCTGTTTGCCATCTTGTATTTTTATAGGAAAAACAGAATGTTTCCATACAAGAGAGAAACCATAGCAGTGAGACGTTACACAAGGGGAGAATGGGGAGTGGTATCTGGAGTTGCTGGATCCTTTGAAATTTAGAAATTCCAAAAATTGCAAGCCCAAAGTCTCGTATATTCCCCCTACCTTTTTATATAGCTGTGAATCACTGAAATTATGTTCATCAGAAAAGACTGGAATTACTGGTCTGCAGGGAGCACTTCATCCCTGGGCTTCAAGCTCCCTATTGAACCCTGGATCAAGTTCAAGTTCATGGCCCTACCCTTCAACGATTCCACCGGCAGATCTATCTGACAAACTGCATCTTCCTCTACCACAAAGATTCTTCATGATAGCTTTTTTTGTTTTGAGAAGCACAGTTATTTATCAGAGTCAAACTCACGAGAACTGGAGACCGAGCTCTCTCAGCAGTCAGCCCAGGATTGTGGAACTCAATTCCTGTAACGGTCAGGATGATCATGGATCACTGCTTTCAGCTTCCAAAGGCACAAGCCCATCTCTACACCCTACCTGCCTTCAGCAATAACAATAATTAACACAATAAGCCAAGTAACCAACACAATTTCAGTGTCACAGGCAGGGAGAGAGAGCCACAAGACAAAGAATCACAGGAGAAATTCCCCATGGCAGAACTCCAGCACAAGGGCTATTCACCACTCACACCCTCAAAGCAAAGCTTAAGTGGGACTGAACTGGTGCACAAGCTTCATGCTGGCCCTCTGCACAGGGGTAAATGTGACCCACTTGATTACTTGGTTAGGGTCTTTTAAGGCTCAGATGCCACAATGATGAACATGGTATAAATACATACATCAGAAGTCTAAATGGCCATTAAATAAGCTATACCCCAAAATCAGATAAGGATATTATTTATATTGTTGTACATACACATATTATCAAACTTGTAGATCTTCAAAAACAAATTACGATTCCAAATTATACAACTAGTTTTAAAAGAGGTGGCTCACTTCCTAACAGATTAGAGAGACCAGGTTCTCCATTCTGTGAAATGAAGTATGTGAATGACCCCTCCTGAGTTGATGACATTTTGCCTACAGTTTTGTTTTTCTGTGCCAAATCCCCATTGACTTCAAAGGCCATTCCACATATGGAATGAGAGTAAGCTATGACTTTAAATGCTTTTTTAATGACTGACAGCTCCATAAACTACAACCTTGCACACCTCATGGTTTAAGCAAGAGAGAGTCTTAAATAATTGTTCTGAACTTAAATTACTTTCCATGTATATTCTCCTACCTGAAAACTGTCGTGCCACTTGGTAATTCTAGAAGTAACGGGAGAGAACAGGGGTAGTTTAAAAACCCTCACAGGAAAAAATGTTCAAGTTGAGCACGGATTTCATGACCAAGCCGCTGTTACTTTCCTCTCTTCATAGAAAATCCAGAAGGCTTTTTTCACTCCCTGGGCTTTGCCAGGGAATATCAGCAGAACCAGGATGCCAGCTGCCCCCCATAGTGGAAAGTGCAACGAGAAAGATGGGTTGAGATGACACAGGCTGCCTGCATCCTCAGTCCCCCCCAGGGAACCTGGAGGCAGCCAGCACAGCCCAGAAATTGTGATGGGCCTGCTTAGGAGAGGGCATAACAAGTTTGCCTAGAAAATGCACTGACCCAGAATATCTCTTGGGCAGCCTTTGGGGAGAGGGGTACCTTCCGTAGTTTCCTGGCATAAATTAATGCTGGCCTCTCCCAGTGGAACTCAAGGGGAGAATCACAGTGCAAACATCTCCTCCTGCAAGTCAATCTCCCCAAAGACACAGTTGCAGGAGGGTGCAGATTGCCTGGGCCAGAGGAGGCAAGTCAAGCCCACTCAAGAATGACTTTGGTCTTTTCAATGAAGTGCTGACCTGGCTAATTTCCTGTTCCGATTCGTGAACCAAAATTATCTTTTTTATGACCTAGTTATGTAAATACAGCCTGTTTGATTTGGGGTGCTATATGCTTTGTTGCAGGTTGGAAGAGCGTAGATTCTATACCAAAGCTGGTGTCTGATTATATGGGAAAGAAATTCAATTTGGATGCCTTGGTGACATACACTCTGCCATTCGACAAAATCAATGATGCTTTTGATCTTATGTATGAGGGGAAGAGGTAGGTTGTTATCAAGAAATTAAACCAGCCTTATCTTGCTGATATAACACCTTTAAAACAAAACATCATTTAAAAACCCAGCAAAAACCTTATTCCTGCTGCTCACTTAGCGAAGCACAACTGATAGGGTGATGAGACAGTGTCTTCAAGGGGCTCCCACAAACAGTTTCCTAGTCAGCCCAATGTTTCAGGCAGGGGTTCATGTGCTTCCACAGAGGAGGGTAGAGGGATGGGGAAATCTACATTTAAATAAAATACTTTCTTATAAACAAAACTAAAAAAGGAGGTATCAGCACTGAGCAAACAAACTTTTTTTTTTTTTTTTTAGCTTTTAAGCTACGCTTTTGCTGGAAATATTTATACTTTCTTCCCAAGATATATACTGAGTCTATTGATAGCATAGCACTGAGTTCAACTTGTGTAATTTGAAGGGTGCATGTGAGGGGACATTTTAGAGGGGCCAGGGCCCATCTGGTCCAATCTGGCCTATTGCAAAAGCCAAAATTTGTCTTGCCAAGTATTTTAGTGACATTCCCCCACAGGATTATGTTATTTGTGGCACGGACAGGTTTAGCAAAGAGCAGGTTACTCCATCCAAGGCAGAGAAACTAGCCCAAATTTCCCTTTACTGTGGGGACAGTTTTAAAAGGAAACCCAAACATCTCCTGCACCCCATCACTGCAGCAACTTCTGAATCCTAGCACTTCACCCTCCCAGCACAAGAATTGGTCAACAACTGACAGAGGTGGGAATGGCTGAGACTTTAAACAGAAGCAGCCACAGAAGGTAAAAAACGAGTGTTGTCCATACACAGATGCTATGCACAAATGTTAAATAAAAAGTTACAAATAAACAATGTTGATATATTTTTCTATTTTCTGTTCGCAGCATCAGAACCGTCTTGGTTTTCTAAGGATTCAACTTAAATTTTTGCAGACTTCCATATGAATTTGAGCCTTATCCTCAGCCTGCCTCACTGCTTAATGACTCGATTATCTTTTCTTTACATATTCCAGAAAGTACTTATGTTCAGTATGTGACAATATCGAATAGGTAGGAACTAAAGGTCACAATAGACAGTAGCTATAAACACACAGATATAAGCGTTGTGGAAGTGTATGATACCAATACACAACATTTATACATGGATGTGCAGACAGCGGGTCACTTTAGTGCAACATGCTTTTTTGCTAACACTGTGATATGTTATTTTTTATTTGTATATAGTATCTAATCTCATGAAATAATTAACTATATAGAATGTGTTTCCTAGTTTTTATGCCAAGAGTTTTCATTCCATTCCATTTTTGTTGGCATCGTCTTGCAAAAAGACTAAAAACAGCCTCAAAGTGACTAAGCGTTAGATCCACAAAGGGACTGAGCATTGTAAAGCCTAACTTTCAGGTGCTCTCCCACCCAGTGATATCCTCAGCCCTGAGTTAGGCACATAGATTCTCTATACAGTGCCCGGGGAGAGTTAGGCACCTAAGAAAGGGATTTACAGAAGCCAGCACGATAAGTGGGGAACTGCTTTAGGCAGCCAGTAAGAAATGCTGAGGAGAAGAGTGTGGCCTAAGCCCTGCTCCTTCAGAGAAGGTAGGCACCTAACTCCACTACTACGGATTCACATTCGTGAACCTTCTGGAATTGAAGGCCTAAGCCAGGCCAGCCCTTACTCCCAAAGGGGAAAAAAACAGAGTGAGAGACAGAGACATCCACTCTATTATAACCAATAACCCAGCAGTTAGGGCACTCACCTGAGATGTGGAAGGCCTGCTGTCAAATCCCTTTTTCTGCCTGGCTTGGAGCAGGGACTTGAGCCTGGGTCTCCCCTATCACAGGAGAGGGCCATGATCACTGAGCTATTAGACATTCTGGGGCAGAGCACTCATTCTCTCCTGTTGAAGTGGTGGAGCGGGGAGGAGTCAGAGAAGTAGATACTTGAGACCAGGACGGGAAGAGAGAGCCGGCAGCTGCTGGGAACAGGAAATCAGGCTGCTGCTGGAAACAGGAGGGTGGTGCATGTAGTCACCATCTCCAAAATAACTGCACGGCTGCAGGAGCTCTTTGCATCATCATGAGAGCTCCTGCAGCAGCGGGGCACAACCATGTGTCTCACGATAAATTCATGAGAGTTGGCAATACTGTGTCTATGTGGGAAAGCTATGCCATTATAGGCTAAGGTGTGTATTTAAACCAACAGTGTTTTATCAGTATAAACCCCTGTGTAGACACTTTTATTCCAATGTAGGAGGGCTATTTTTGGTTTAGCTTGTATGACTTGGGAAGCTGTGCAAACAAAACCAAAAAAGCCACTCTTATCAACACAGGGATTTATACTGGTATTACTATATTGGTTTAACAATAGGCGCCGACTCCGTGGGAGCTCCGGGGCAGAGCACTCACGGGGAAAAATTAGCAGGTGCTCTGCACCCACCTCCCCTTGTCCCCCTCCTAACCTCCTCCTCCCCCTTCCCCATGCACATGGGTCCTCGCTCCTCCCACTCCTTCCCAGCACTTCCCACCCACCGCCTAACAGCTGTTTGGCGGCACTTAGGACTTTCTGGGAGGGAGGGGGAGGAGTGGGGACGCAGCGCACATGGGGGAGAAGGCAGAGAAGAGGCGGGGCAGGGGCGGGGACTTGTGGGTGGGGCAAGGGTGGGAAGAGGCAGGGCGAGGCCAGAGTTGGGAGGTCAAGCACCCAGCAGGCAGAGGGGAAGTCAGCGCCTAAGGGTTTAACTATACCAGTTTAATTATACTGGTATAACTGAGAAAACGTCCCTGTTTAGGCAAGCCCACAGTGAAAGTTACAGAGGAAATATCCAGGACCTCATTTTTATGACAAACGTTTAAATAACATCGATGGTGTCATAAATATAAAGGGAAGGCTAACCAACTTTCTGTATACAGTGCTATAAAATCCCTCCTGCCCAGAGGCAAAACCCTTTCACCTGTAAAAGGTTAAGAAGAGAAGGTAACCTTGCTGGCACCTGAACCAAAATGACCAATAAGGAGACAAGATACTTTAAAATCGGGGGGGATACAAAGGGTTCTGTCTGTCTGTGTGTGATGCTTTTGCCAGGAACAGATCAGGGATGGAGTCTTACAACTCCTGTAAAGTTAGTAAGCAATCTAGCTAGAAAATGCATTAGATTTTCTTTTGTTTAATGGCTGGTAAAATAAGCTGTGCTGGAGGGAATGTATATTCCGGTATTTGTGTCTTTTTGTAACTTAAGGTTCTGCCTAGAGGGATTCTCTATGTTTTGAAACTGATTACCCTGTAAGGTATTTACCATCCTGATTTTACAGAGGTGATTCTGTTACTTTTTTTTTTAATTAAAATTCTTCTTTTAAGAACCTGATTGATTTTTCATTGTTGTTAAGATCCAAGGGTTTGGGTCTGTGTTCACCTGTACCAGTTGGTGAGGATTCTTATCAAGACTTCCTCAGGAAAGGGGGTGTGGGGTTTGGGGGGATATTTTGGGGGAAGACGTCTCCAAGTGGGCTCCTTCCCTGTTCTTTGTTTAAAATGCTTGGTGGTGGCAGCATACTGTTCAAGGACAAGGCAAAGTTTGTACCTTGGGGAAGTTTTTAACCTAAGCTGGTAAGAATAAGCTGAGGGGGTCTTTCATGCAAGTCCCCACATCTGTACCCTAGAGTTCAGAGTGGGGAAGGAACTTTGACAGATGGCACTGATCCTGCACACTCTATGTACATCCTTAACTCTCCACCAGTGCAGGGCCACTGGAACTACTAGTGCTGGAGATACAGCATCTCACCCGGCTCTAAGTAATAATAGGAAATGAATGCAGAGCTTCCATCATACACAGTGTTTACAGTTTTGTTAGCTTTCAGTATTCCCACTATAAAACTTGCTCCAGCACCCACGCCCCTGTACCAGGTCTGTCTAACTATTCAGTTGAATTATTCAGGGCAATTGATTTATTCAATTCACATTTAAGCATGTGCATAAGTTCTTCTGGGACCAGGGCCTAAATATTAACTAACACATTAACATCTCACCTCTGTGTTATAAATAAATGAATTCTAATCTCCATACCATTGAGTATGACTGTCGAGTTTTGCAAATTTGACTGAATCTAACCAATTTTGTTTTATTTAGCTCCATGTCATAAAAGTAACAACTATCTAAAACTAGGTAAAAATAAATATTACTCTTACAAACACCAGTCTTTGTCACTGGATTTTATCACTAAGTTTTACAATTAATTAAAAAAAAAAACAAAACTTTTCAGTCTTAAGAATTGTATAAGTGCTCCTGTGAAGAAACATTCTGCAATTAAGTTAATGTTTCACACAAGTTATTTCAGTGACATCTAATGCTCATTTTATTTTATTTTCTCTCTGGTACAATTTGTTATTGTTTAATTTTCTTACGACACAGACGTAATTTGATTTTTTTCATATTACGAACACACGGCAATTTGTTTCTAGTAGACTTATCTGATTACTAGCATCTCCCTGGTCTGCGTGTAAAAAAAATATGAAATTCCCTAATCCTCTCCTTCTGAGCCAATAGGATTTTTGCTAACCTTTCATCAACTACAAGTTGTTCTTACAGTATACCATATTGAACACTGATTGGGGTCAGGGCCTTGGATAAAACACAGGTTGTCAATATATAATGGTAGAGTTCCCCAGATCACGTTCAGTTTCTAAAATTTCTTTGGCTTCTGGGTTGAACAAAAATCATATTTAAAGGACTAGCAAAGACCTTTAAGTTATTTATGAATTAATCTCCACTGGGAAGAAAAGTATGGCTTCAATTCAAGTGGGGGTACAGTTTTGTTGCCTATAACCCTATAGTTTGGTCTTTGAATTTCTTCCTGGATGGTTAGTGTTTCACTTGGGTAATGTACCCAAAATTTACCTGAAAGACCAGCCTTTTCTGAGTTTCTTTAAAAAAAAAAAAAAAAAAAAAACACCAAACATCTAACGCAAAAAGTTATAGCAATAGTAAATATAATTTATGGGGTGTCAAATCATAGAAAATGGACCCATATAAACATTAGAACAAACAAAAATTTGTTTGGTTGGGCAGTTAAGGCTGCATCAAGACATACGCCAACAATTCAAAACCTTGAAAGCATGAAAATAAGAAATTATGGGGAAATACTCTAGTTTTCCTTGTCACCGTCACACATCCTCCACGAAGCACTGATTTCCCTCTCTAACAAAAACCGAAAAGCAATACACACCCCAGCTTCATGCTACTCTAATGCAAAACTTTAAAAGCAACCTTGTACTCGCTTATATCAAGAGATCAGCACATCTGACTGTCACACAGTCCACTGATTTGGAAATTTATTTTGCTTTAACATTACTGAAATCAGGTTTTCCTTTTGAAACTAAAAATTTCAATACCTATTTCAATAACATTTTCCATGTTTTTGACAAAAAATTTGATTTTTAAAAATCCATTAAAAATTGTGGGGGAGAAAAACTAAATGTGGGTCAATTTAGTACACTTCCTTAAAATATGTCAAAATTATTTTAATTTTGAAGACAGGTATTCATTTTTCAACCTGCTCTTCTCAACAGAAATAAGTAAGTAATATTTATACCTTTTAATTTTTCAAACTGCTATACAAACATTGTCTTTCCAACTCCCCTATGAAGTAAGTTAACATAGGAGAGTTGAAATTATAATTCAGAAGTTCCTGGCTCCTAGCCCAGTTGATTGCAGTACATCACATGGCTTCTCCCGTTCAAATACAGGCCCCAGTTATACAAATAGTCCCTTACATGAGGACGGCTGCGTTCACACATAGTCATGTACCTTGATGGGAGCTGAGAAGTTTCTGATGCTCCTTGCCTCCCCACCAACAGACAAATTGTAAGCATTTTTCAATTCCAGCTCTAACCAGGCTGAGCTTACTAAGATACAGAACCAGACGTTAAGAAAGCTGAGACTGCAGGCCCAATAAGAAATGTGAAGAAGTAGGGCCGTCCCACTCAGTGGCATATGGCCAGGCATATTATGGCTGTATAATTCTGCCCCTCCCCCCGCCCAGCCTCCCACCAAAAAAATCTAAAGAAATTTTTAGCCTGATCCCGGAAATTTTTGTTCAAGATGGACAGAAAGCTGTTCAGATAGGTATGTTGAGATAAATAATATCGTCTGGAGGCTCCTGCCTTCCCAGGAAATTCATAAGATCTGTCCAGGATCTAGAACCAATTTGATATTTTCAGTTACTTTTGGACAGTGGTGTTCACAGAGGTCTTGGAAGGACAGGCTGATATAAATACCCATATATCTAGTACTGCATTTTGCTAGTCAAAAAAGAAACCAGAATAGGGAGAGTAGAGTGTCACAGAGTGTATGGAGGAGAGGGACAAGAGTGGGGAATCCTCTCCTTATCTAATGTTAACTACATAGCCCAATAAGTCTCTGTATGCGGTAACGATTTCCAGTAGGTACATTTTCAGAGTGGTAGCTGTGTTAGTCTGTATCAGCAAAAAAACCGAGGAATCCTTGTGGCACCTTAGAGACTAATATAGTTATTTGGGCATAAGCTTTCGTGGGCTAAAACCCACTTCATCGGATGCATGCAGTGGAAAATACAGTAGGAAGATATATATACACACAGAGAACATGAAAAAATGGGTGTTGCCATACCATTTGTAACGAGACCAATCAATTAAGGTGGGCTATTATCAGTAGGAGAAAAAAACCTTTTGTAGTGATAATCAGGATGGCCCATTTCAAACAGTTGACAAGAAGGTGTAAGTAACAGTAGGGGGGGAAAATTAGCACGGGGAAATAGTTTTTACTTTGTGTAATGACCCATCCACTCCCAGTCTTTATTCAAGCCTAATGTAACGGTGTCCAGTTTGCAAATTAATTCCAATTCTGCAAGAACACCTCAGCTATACCCCATGGCCTTGCAGGCATATAAGCTCCGATTCTCATAGAGGTCATGGGAAAAAAACCAATCTTGAGGAGAGATTTAAATAAGGATAGGATAGGGTTCTCTCAGACAAGTTTAGAATAGGCATTACATGAATGAAATAATACCTGAGTGGGCAGCAGTTGTGATGTCACAAAAAAGGGACTATGGCTTTATGCAGAGGAATAATGAAAATCTGTGTAATGCAAAAACATGCTTATATCACAATATCATGAGACAATCTCAAAACAGTGTGAGAATGTCACGAACACTCAATCACGTGACCACACAAATGATGACGTATGGAAACACCATGGTGATATGTAGCACCCACTCCCCTTACTGCACCTACTCTGAAGAACAAAATAATGTTGCAACATATTGATGTAAAATTCACAATGCGTGGGAACCCTGACAGAACTCCCAAGTAACTGCAACCTATTTTCATGCAAATAACCTTGGCAATATACACAGGAAAGAGAAATACATAAAGCATAAAAATGTCTCTCAGTGTAACTTTCTTTTTTTAAAGTCAGAATGAGACACTAGTGAATCTTGATGGGGGGGTATCAAGAATGAGATCAGGGGGCATAATCTTATTCTATGGTTAGTAAAGGCTGGCAGATGTTTTTGTCCAATCCCACCGCTGGATCAGTGCTCTGTGTTATTATTTATTAGCTATGCACTTCAAGACAGTTATCCTATAGCCCCACACAACAGGGGTCCCCGTAGGTGCAGGAGGGCTCTGCATGGAGCACCCTGTAGGGGCCAGGCCATCTTGTAGTACTGTAACTGACACCGCACCAATATTTTCACTAGCGCAGGTAATTTTATTTCCAGGTTTTCCAATGTGTTCCGCAGACCCTTTTCCCCCTATGGAAAAGGCTGGAAGTTCTTCCACAAGAACAGTCACGCTGTGTTTTGAACACCTCTAGCTTGTACACAGAGCACCTTCCCCGGTAGGGTGCTTGTGGCATTGGCCTGCTAAACCCAGGATTGTGAGTTCAATCCTTGAGGGGGCCATTTAGGGCTCTGGGGCAAAAATTGGGGGATTGGCCCTACTTTGAGGAAGGGGTTGGCCTAGATGTCCTCCTGAGGTCCCTTCCAACCCTGATATTCTATGAATTGAAAAATGCATCAAAGTCATAATTCATAGATGTAGGTGTGAGTTCTAATATATCGGATGCACAATTACAACAACAGCCACGCGGCGCGGGGACAAACGAGGACTAGTGGGGGGGGGTCACGTTTTTCCTCCTCCCCCCGGGGAACTTTTTAGCGTCCGGCCCCCGCGGACAGTTCAAACACAGAGACACTTCGCGGGGCCCCTGCAGCTGCACTGCAGACTCCCCTGCACCTGACGCTTCCTACCGGGGCTCCACCGCTCTGGGGCGACCGCGGCAAGCAAACGGGCAGCAGCCCGGCGCCCCGCCGGCGGAGCGATGCTTCAGCCACCGCCATAAGCGGAAGCGGCCGCCCGTCGCCCGGCCCTCAAGAGGCGGCTCCAGCGGCAGCGAGCGCGCATGCACCGGCTCGGGCGGCCGCTTCGCGGAGCGCGCTTGGCGGGACGGCGGGAGCGGACCGGCGGCGGGGGCCCATGGCGAGCGCGGTAAGGGGCGTGGAACGTTCCCGGGCAGCTCCGGGGCGCGGGGGGCTCGAGCGGGCGGGGAAGCGGGCTGCTGGGCCGGCAGCGCGCAGGGAGGCGGGCGGCTGCCGTGCAGGAAGGCCGCGTCCCAGCTTCCCCGCTGGGCTCGTCTGATCCGCACGCCCAGCGGGCGACCTGCTTGCAGCTGGGGTTTGCAGGGCCCTTGGGGCTGCTCGCGCTGGAGTTGCCCGGGGTTTTAGAGCAAGCAGGTGTTTTCATCGAGGATGTCCTTACATAAGGGTCCATCGCATGCGGTTAAATTGTGCTGTTGATCTTTCTTAAGCTTTGCGTTGCAAGCCCACAGCATCGTGTAGAGTACAGCATGGACTTGATCATCTATCATTTCTGTTATGGGGGCGCGCAAAGACCCCGGTTGGGATCGTGGGTGCTGTGTTCAAAGCCATGGTCCGGTCCCAAAGAGCTTATGATCTGAAGCCCCAGTGAGTTCAATAGAATTGCACACATGCATAAAGTGCCACCGGACTCCTTGTTACACACGCATAAAGTTATTCATGTATGTGTCTGCGGGAGTGCAGGCCTAAGCTGACAAGTAGCCCTGCACAGATAAGATCAAGGAGAAATATTCATGCATTCTTGACTCCTAAGAAGAACTATGATCATTATAAATGTGTTTGCCCCAACAGGGTAAATATGTATACATCAGTCTGGAAGGCTGGGTACATAATTAGTTGGGAAACTTGTTACTCTCATCTGCCTGTGTGGTTGCTGTGAAAAAGATTGGTATATCAATCTGTCTCTCAAAGGTTCTCAAATTTCATTGCACTGCGACCCCCTTCTGACAACAAAAATTACTACAGGACCCCAGGAGAAGGGACTGAAACCTGAGCCCACACAAGTCCTGCTCCCCAGTTCGGGGTGCCAAAGCTGAAGCCCAAGGGCTTCGGCCCCAGGTGGTGGGGCTTGAGCTTGAGTTTCGGCCCAGGCCTCAGCAAGTCTAAGCCAGCCCTGGCAACCCCATTAAAACGGGATCACAACCACTTTGGGGTCCTGGCCCACAGTTTGAGAACTGCTGCTTTACAACTATAAGATCATCAGGTACTGTTCACACAGTGACAATGAGTTGGCCGTTTCATGTAACTATTGCAGAATCTCTTGAGAGTATAACTCTACACCCTGCTTTCTTCCCCTCAACTACAGCCTACATCACCAGTCTGTCTGAGTAGGCCAAACAAGTAAATGATTGCCCAGACAGTGAAAGCTTGTCCTATCTACCAACCCTTCCAAGATAAGATGCAACTTCTACAACCCTTGTAGTGGGCTCAGCTGTAATGGCATAAACAGAAGATGATTGTGTGTTTGGAGGGCTAGCTTGATTGAATTAACAAATATACTGTTTTGATGCTAATATCTGTAATGAAAAACAAGAAAAATACAGCAAATAACCTTTTTCAATTATTGTCTTCGGACCTTTCAATGAAGCAACAGAAAATTAAATTTCAGCCTAATAATTTCTTAACAACACATTGATACCCTAATTTCACTTTTTAATATTCCAGGGGCCTGGATAAACATTAACTACTTATTATTTCAAGTGTCTTCCATAAAGGCTACACTTTTAGATTGAACAACATGTTGTAGACTGAGAGGTACTTGGAATGAGCCTTCTGCAACATCTTATCATATCTGTTGAGTTGTCTTATCCTTTTTTGCTTTTTATTTTTAGAGGTATTTATGTAGGAAAAACTAGGAACTTCTTACATTGACAATAAAAAAGGTAGAGGTGTAATGTTTGTTCATTGAATGTTCCCAGCCAACTAGGAAAGTCTAAGTCTATTCTATAACTTTTATTTTTAAGCCTTCTCTTTATTTAAATAACCTATACCCATGCACATTTTGAAAACATTTACTCTTAAATGCTCACATTTAATCTGAGAGAATGAATCAGCTTTCATAATGTGGAAAAAGGCTTAACTGAAAACTCCCAAGTTATTTACAGGTTGACAATTCCTCTTGTACTTTGATCCCTAGAAATTGACTAGATTTCCTGGCAAACTTTCAGGGGTTTAATCAAAGCATTCAGCACTGCAAAGCAGTGTAACTTGTTGGTTTCTATGCAGCTGCTTTCCCAAAGTTAATATATCACATTTATTATATGCATACACACAATAATGCAAATAAACTAGCCTTAAGTTTGTGAAAAGGGCTGGGAAGAAAGTAACAAAGGCTTTTATGTTTGGGGGAAATTGATTGTAATGACTATTCCAGTATAAGGTAACTATTTTGGGATAGCTCCCCCATGTTGGCACTTTGGAATAATTACTCTGCTCACAAAGCTATAGCTATGCCAGTCGATTTCCCTGTGTAGAGAAGGCCTTAAATTCAGCTTCAGAATTCATTAGAACAGGCCTCCGTGTTCTGTGGCAAGCTATTGCATGTAGCATTTTCCTGAAAAAGATGCTGTCTTGTGTGGTTAAAAAGGAGAATAATTTAAGTTAACAGTCGTACTACCTGCATAAGATTTTTCCATGGCTCCTCAGACAATGGAACTGAAGCTCATAAGACTTTTTTAGAAAGGGAAATCAAAGAGCATTCCAGATCCTCATTCTCACAGGACCCAATTCTGCTCTTGGTGATATGGATGTAACTCCTATGCTGACTTTCTCAGTTGGAAGTGCATCCATGTAACTGGAGGCAGAATTGGAGCCATTGATTCTAAAAAACGTTGTTTTCAAGAATCTAAGTTCTGTTTATCTTCAAAATGTTTCTACCCTTCTTAATTGAAAAAGAGAGCTTCTCTAGATAAATAAATGCAGTGTGGTTTTAGGATGAAATTCATCTGCGATGCTGAAGCCTACACAGAGTCTTGGTTGTGGGCAGTTCTGCTGACAGAGTGGTCACGCAGAAGTATCTGTGCATCCCCTATGCATTGCGTAAAGGTTCTCTGTGCTGGCCACATATAGTCTGCTGTAGAAAGCCACAATAGGAGCAGGCTGGGTGTGGGGCAACAGAGTGACCTCTGTGTTGATCCAAACTCTTATGTGAGACAGATGGCTTAACTAAATTTTCCAAGTTTTGTAATCTTGATTGTGTGTACTGCTGGCACTAGCTACAGAAAAATACCATGTGCCTGACATAAATGCTGATTGTTTATTTTAAAATGTCACTAGCATTATCTAACATTTTTCATATGGCACACACACACACACACACACACCCATTACCACAACGTACTGCCTTCAAAGTACTAAAATAACACTTTAAGTCCAGATCTGGTGGTTCTTGTTTAAGTTCCTGAAAGCAAAAGTAGGGCAACTGTCCCTTTGTTCTAAAGTCATTGGGAGTTGAGGGTTGGATCTCACCCATAACTTCATATCTGGGATTATTTCCCCAAAATAGTAGCCTTTCTTTTCTTTGTTCCCTCCACTGAACAAGAATTATTATAAATGAACAGTGCAATAACTCTGTTCTTCTTTCTCATTTAGGTTATTAAATGCAAGGCTGCTGTTGCCTGGGAGGCAGGTAAACCACTCTCTATAGAAGAGGTGGAGGTTGCGTCACCAAAAGCACATGAAGTCCGTATTAAGGTAACTTAAGCAAATGTTTATTGCTCGCTTTACAGTTTGTATTTTGGGAGACCAGATAATAGAAGTGAATAATTTGTTTGCCCTTGTAGGACAAAAATGTTGAATTTATAGAGTTTGTGTTATCTGTTTGTTTGAAACCTAGGTCAGACTCGAAAGAAGAGGATGGTGTCTGGTTTTTGGGGTGGCATAAAATGAAATGGCTGCTGGTCTGAGGCCTAACACTTATTTTGGTCTTGGGCCAAAGTCTAAAAATCACTGCTATTCTGAGGGATCAGTGCCATTTTAAACCGTCTGAGCGAGAAAAACGTGCTTTATCCCAATGGAAACCTCATCTCATTTATTTTCATTTTTCACATTGTATGGGACATTCAGTGCTAGCCATTTTAGGTCATAATTTATCAGACCTTAAACTCATCACTGTGATTAGCATCTTGCACGCTCCAGATCTTCACTTCTGATTCTAATGACTTCTAATAGGCAGTATCTCCCAAACTAATATATAGGATGCAATGTGCCTCAATGAAAAGAGTCCACATGAGGTCCTGTGTGCTGCTTAAGACTTCTATTAAGAACTTACATTGGATTTTTGAGTGCTTATAATGTTATATGAACCCTCTGTACGGGGTGATTTTTTTCACTGTTGGAGATTGATCCCATTTGAAATCTGGGGTACCACATTGTTTTCAAATGGCATAGAGCACTGGCTTTAGCAGATCTTGAGCCAGCAGCTGCCAATTTCATGTCAGAACTGAAGAGATGAGAAACAAACAGAGATCAAAGCAATGTGATTATTTTTTCAGGTCCAATATCTCTTGTGAGTTGCCGGAGCTAAAAACACTTTGGTTAAACTACTACAAAAGACTTCAGAATTAGTGAATTCATCCTAGCATTAGTCTTGGATTACTGACCAGGAAAAATATTTCAATACCAGTTATCTCTTTAGATTCTCCTTCATTACCTCCAGAATATTTCAGATTATAATATTCCTTTAGGTGGTTGCCACTGCAGTCTGTCACACAGATGCCTATACGCTGAGTGGTGCTGATCCTGAGGGGTGTTTCCCAGTGATCTTGGGTCATGAAGGAGCAGGAATTGTGGAGAGTGTTGGGGAAGGAGTAACTAAATTAAAACCAGGTAAGAAAACATTTGGTCTTCACAAGCGCTTTTTCTAGTTTCTTTGGAAATCTTGCTTCAATGGAATAAATTGCTCAGACTTGTCCACTGAAAAGCAGAATTGATGAGCTGCTGTGATGAGTTTTTTTGGGCTACACCTGCCTAAAGTTTTCCTTCATGCGGGTGGTCCAATACTAACCTAACTAATGTGCTCTTGGTTTACTGTTCAGAAGAGAATAGTTTACAGGGTTATTATGTAATACTTTATGAAGAAACTATTTTGAATTCAGTTTGTGTTCTAAAAGAGTCAGTTGTTTTTAACCAATTGAACAATTAGAGATAACAGCTGTCTAAATACACTGGTTTTTCCATATAGGTTTTACATCTTTGTTCCTATTTGTTCTTGTTGAACTTTAGATGGAAATTGATCGTTTACTCAGACATGAGATGAATCAGGGTTTTTTATACAACGTACTTTACAAAACCTGTACTTTGTCATTCTATATTTGAAAGCATTTTGGAGACTTCAAATGCACAAATAAGAATGCATGAATTATTGCCCCCATTAAAATTTCATAGTATTGACCATGTTACATTTGACCACATACCAAATGTGTGTATGTTCTGACATACTGTCCTTTCAGTCTTTAAACAGCTAGTCATATGAAATGTTTCTCTTGTTATGTTCTCTAGGTGACACAGTCATCCCACTGTACGTCCCACAATGTGGAGAATGCAAATTCTGTTTGAACCCTAAAACCAATCTCTGCCAAAAGATAAGGTTGGTGTACTTTTTTCTTGATACACACAGAATAATAATTGTTCAGTGTACGCTTACTTTTGTAACAAAGTTAACTGAATTTGTATCAAATTGTTTTGAATTCAGGTAACATCAGATCAAATGCAGAGCAAGGTCATTTAGTTGGAAAGATGCATATTTTAGGTTTGTTATGCAATACCCATTTTTCCCCCCCTCCTTTCAAGGCTTAGCAGTAGTGGTTTTTTTGTTGTTGTTGTCTTTTCTGGCCTTACTTAAATTCACTTCTTTGTGTGTGGCTGTGATACTATGCCACAAATACTGTCATTTGTCAGGGTATCTAGTATGCGAGGATGTATTCAAAATTCTGTTTGATTCAAGTGGTAGTTTATCGTAGAAAATTATTGCCCTTTGAATGGGGAAAAAACAACTCTCTGTGGTCAATATCTTCAACCCAAGGAACAAGTAGTTCTCCCTTTGTAAACAAGAATCACAGTCTGTTTTCTACACTTTAAAAGGTCTTTGTCCTAAAATGTGATGCACTTCAGTTAGCCTTTGCTAAGTAGTCGCATGTTTAGATCTCAGTCATGTAAGCCAGTGGCTCTCAATCTTCCCAGACCACTGTACCCCTTTCAAGAGTCTGATTTATCTTGTGTACCCGAAGTTTCACCTCACTTAAATTACTTGCTTACAAAATTCGACAAAAATACAAAAGGGTCACAGCACACTATTACTGAAAAATTACTCACTTTCTCATTTTTACCATTAGATAAATCAATTGGAATATAAATATTGTGCTTACATTTCAGTGTGTAGTCTATAGAGCAGTATGAACAGGTCATCGTATGAAATTTTAGTCTGTACCGACTTCGCTAGTGCTTTTTATGTAGCCTGCTGTAAAACTAGGTAAATATTTAGATGAGTTGATGTACCCCCTGGAAACCCTCTGCGTATCCCCAGGTTGAGAACTACTGATGTAAGCCACTCAGCCAGCAGCAGAGCTCCAGCAGTAATAGTGGCTACCATTTTAGCAGACCCAGATTAAATCGCAAGTAAACACTAGCATGACCTCAGTTTCCATTCATGCCTGTCACAAAACCACTATCCACTGTGATGGGATTGGCAGAGGCTGCTCAGCAGAGACTTGGGGTATATCTACACTGCAATCACAGGATGTGATTGTTTTCTTTTTTTTAAGCTCATCTAAACGTACCCAAGCTAGCTTGATTAAGACTAGCTAGGGAACCAGTAGCAGTGAAGTACGTGCCTCTAGGCAGGTAAACTAGCCTGCTCAGAACCCTGAGTAGCTACTTGGGTGACTACCCCATGCTGATGCCTGGGCTGCCTCAGCTTCACTGCCCGGATACCCAAAGTAGCGAGATTAAAACTAGTTCAGGTATAAGTGCACAAATTGCAAATCACACCCCACGATTGCAGCGTAGGCATACCCTGGGACTAAAAGGAGAGAGGACACGGTGGGGCAGGACTGGGGTGTGTTAGAAAGGTCAGTTATGGTTTATATGCAATGTGTGGTTTCCTGAATGTCTGTGTCAGAGCACTATTAGGTCCTGCTTTATCAAAGCACTTGAAGTGCTTACGTCCCACTGAAGCCAAATGCATCTTAAGAACTTCGATGAACTGAGGCCTTGGAACCTGATCCAAAGCCTGTTAAAGTCGGTAGAAAGACTGCAACACGCCTGTCATCTCTAACTTTCATGAACTCAAGTTTTACTTAAATGTCTTCAAAATTTTTACTCTGTGGGTAATCATGTAACTAAATCTCCATGCACCATTCAGGAACTGTACCACTTGGTGAAAATTAAGTCACTTCCTAGACTCTCTCCTGTCACTTTCTGTGACACTGTATTAAATATCCTTTGTTGTACTGTTTATTTTTCAGAGTTACCCAAGGAAAAGGACTGATGCCTGACGGTACCAGCAGGTTCACCTGCAAAGGGAAGCAGATTTACCACTTCATGGGGACTAGCACCTTCTCCGAATACACCGTTGTAGCTGATATCTCTGTGGCTAAAATCGATGCTGCAGCTCCTCTGGATAAAGTTTGCCTGTTGGGCTGTGGAATTTCAACAGGTTACGGAGCTGTCCTCAACACTGCCCAGGTACGGGATCTAGCTGATCACTCTCTTCCCCATACCTGTGGCTAATGACAGTAAAAGTACTGTAATGAAAATCTGTTAAGGCTGGGCTTGGAGAAAGTAAGACCAGAGGAACAGCCGCTGAGTGGGCAGAGGGAGATGGGACATGTGCTCACCACTTCCTTCCTTCCTCTTCCATTGCCAAATCTGACAAGGAGCCGGACCAAGTAGGAAACGGGAAGATTGACCTGGGCTTCCCACCTGTTTAGCCTCAGCAGACGAAGTCAGATCAAAAACCTTGTTTCTCCTTCTCCCAGCTCTCTTTGTGCAGAGTGGGGTAGAGGAAGCATGTCTTGATGGAGGCAAGTGGCTGTGGCGAGGAGCCACCTTGAACTGTTCAGGAATTTGTTTGTGGATGGGTATTATTGGTCAGTTGGGATTACCTTATAGTAAGGACAGACTTGTACATATTGACAATGTTGTAAAGTTGCTTTAAATATTCTCTTTGATACAGTGATCTCTGCTTCCACCTGTTCTCATGCTACCATCCTACTATGTGGCAGGTGCTCCTGCTTTGTTTCGGGGGGGGCGGACTTCCCACTGTTCTAGTGGAGACCGAGCCATTACCCACCTTTTGGGTAAGGAGTAAACTTAGCCCATTACAGCCCTTCAAAAACAATTCATAAAAAAATCTGGCATACTTCCCTACATCTGAGTGATGATGACTTGCAATTTTGGATTTTTATTCTCTATTTTTCTTAATAATCTGTATTTCTCATACATGTGGAAGGATGTGTTGTTTTTCCTCCCTCCTGAACAGATTTCTGTTGCTCTGTTAGGTGGAACCTGGTTCTACCTGTGCCGTCTTTGGATTGGGAGGAGTTGGGCTGGCAGTTATTATGGGCTGTAAAGTGGCTGGAGCTTCCCGGATCATCGGCATTGATCTCAACAAAGATAAATTTGCCAAGGCTAAAGAGTTTGGAGCCACTGAGTGCATCAACCCTCAGGACTTTAAGAAGCCCATACAGGAGGCGCTGGTTGAGCTTACTGATGGTGGAGTGGACTACTCTTTTGAGTGCATTGGGAACGTTGGTGTCATGGTAAGCGTGCACATAGCAGTACTGAAAGGGAAGTTTAACTACATCTTGGGATAGGTAATAACCTTAAAAGAAAGACAAGCGCCTTTCTGTTTACAAGGGAGTATTCTATCGTATTTCTTTTCTGTTGAGAGTAGCCTGGTAATTCTTATATAGTAGACTAAAAGGGTCCATTTCAACCAATCCTAATTATAAAATGAAAGACAAGTCTACTGCTTAGGTGGAAAACACAGCTCCTTTATGTTCTAAAATATAATTATGGAAGAAAATTAGTCGTGCAAACCTTAGCAGAGCTGAAAAACAAAATATCAGCAAATAGACTCCGTGACTTCACATTTTCACCTTTCCTCCCACATGACAAACTTAATGCCCTAATTACAATATTGCTAGGTGGAATGTGTCTTCCTAATTCTTTTAGTAACAGTGTAGACCAGCTTGTTCTTTCTAAGTACAATCCAGCATCCATTGAAATGGACAGACTCCATGTGGGAGATGGGAATGCACTATAAGTGTTTTAAAAACAAAAGTGTGGGGCAAGGTGTAGGAATATTGGCCATTTTACCAATTAAATTTATATATACTTGTCAGAATTTTTTTCTTAACTAGGTACAGCATCGCTGACATGCTCAATAATGTTAAAAAAGAAGAAATCTCTGTGGGGCTATATAGCATCTATATAATAGATGCTTCTTAGCAGTAATTAGCTTTCTTTCTGTTTGAAGAGGGCTGCCTTGGAATCCTGTCACAAAGGCTGGGGAGTCAGCGTGATAGTTGGAGTAGCTGCTTCTGGTCAGGAGATCTCTACCCGTCCCTTCCAGCTAGTAACGGGTCGCACGTGGAAAGGGACTGCCTTTGGAGGTAACTTTCTGGCACACTGATGATCTATCTACTAAAAGAGGGATAAAGTACTGTCTTCCTCTGTGGTTGTACAAGAAACTGGTTCCTATCAAGTCATTCTTAATGAATGCTACACTAGCTTTTCAAATATAACCTTTTATAAATAACTATCCCCCATAGACAAGCTGTGAATGATCATCTTTCTGTTGCATATTATGAATTTAAAATGCAAGTAGCAGCCATAAGGGGAGAATTTCTTCTGTGCAGTTCTATAGCTGTATCATGGTTGAGGTGCAAATAACAAGAGCTGCTCACCTGGGAAATGAGGAATAATGTAAACATGTTTGTGTAAGTAACTGCCCTGTTTAATCACTGAGCAAATGGAATCATTGAGCTCTGTTGTGAGGATGCACAGCTGGGGGAGAGGGGGGTGGTTTTAGACAGTAAAAGGGGATCCTTTAAGAAGAAACTGTTTAGATATAATTCAGGAAGGAAAAGCTGCTGGAGTCTTCACAAAGTGCCACTTTTATACAACTCTTTTCCGGGCGTACAAAACTCTGCTGTGGTCTAGTTATAAAATACATAAATGTAGACCAGGAAGAGGGCTGAGCACCAGTTTTCTGAGGTGATCTCAACTAGACATTGAACACACATCCCTCCCATTTTGACTGGTATTTTAGCTGTACTCTTGCATTCTTTACTCCAGTGTTATTCTGCAGGCAGATGGGTATGGATATTGTGACATGATCCTAGGATCTCTCTCATACCATGAAAACTGAGCTTTAATGACTAATACTATTGAGGGGTAGGGTTGATATATTTTATTTCCTACCTCTACCCTAGTATGGTTTTGATTTACTGGGTGGGGAAAAAAAAAATTTGTGTTTTTTCAGGTTGGAAGAGTGTAGAGAGTGTACCAAAGCTGGTGGCTGAATACATGTCGAAAAAGATCAAAGTCGATGAATTTGTGACTCACACGCTGCCTTTTGACAAAATTAATGAGGCTTTTGAACTGCTGCATGCAGGGAAGAGGTAAGTTTAAATGTCTTATGTCCATAAGATTGAATAGCTCAATAAGAGTTTGTAGGCCACTACTATGTTCCTCCTCTCGAGCTACTTGTTGTTCTGATACCTGCCCCATGCATCCCCTTTGTGTTTCAGATATGGTGTGTGAAGTGCTATGCACCAAGTATGTTCATGCACACCTAGAGCAACTAATTGCTCACTCTGTTTCTAGGTCAGTGCTGCAACATCAACTTCTGTTTTGAGTGGGGACAGGGGAAAGGCAAGGAAAATAAAATTAGTGTTGGTGTCTGAGCAGAGGAGGAAACAAAGTGGAAAAAAACTATAGCCATAAAGGACAAAAATTTTAAAAAGCTAACTTCAAGAACCAGAATAAAAGTAGAGACTGAGAAGGAAACAAAAGAAAGTACTTGGATATTAAAATCCCAATGAAACTTAATTCAGAACAATTAGCATTATTTTAGATTACACTTGAATCTCAGAGTTAAACTGAGTCAGCTACCTTCCTCATTTGGAACTGGAAGTACACAATCAAGCAGCAGCTGCCAAAAAAAATAAACAGCAAATACAATACAGCACTGGTAAATGTAAACTACTACAAAAATAAAGGGAAAGCAGCGTTTTTCTTCTGCATAATATTTCAAAGCTGTATTAAGTCAATGTTCAGTTGTAAACTTTTGAAAGAGCAAAATTTTGTTCAGTTATGAACAACCTCCATGCCTGTGAGAACTGAGATTCTACTGTACTCCATTAAATAGAAGGTTTGAATTTCATGTTCCTCAAACAAGTATCTTAAATAATTGGCTGATAGCTAGGTTAGATTCAGTATTAACAATCATCTGGTAGTGGGCTGTTAATGACCAGTATACATTTATTAACATGCTGGATTTGTTCTGTCCTTATCTTGTTCACCAGTGGATTTTTCCCCCTCTCTAACATGAGACTGGAGGCGGAACTAAAGAACCTTCAGTCACTGGCTATGTGACTTAACTCTGCCCATGTTATCTTGCCTAGAGTTTCTTCTCTGCTCAGGTAAATGGCAAGATTGTGCTGCTGTTTGCAAAGCAAGCCTCAGCTATAGCAATAAGTAAATTCAAAAAACACACTTCCTCAGGAAAGGCTCTCATTGAGCTTGGTGCAAGCCTGGAGGAAAAAACATGAACGTTATTTTCAGATTGTGAATCAGTGCAGCAGCAATTCTGCCACCTGGTGAATACCAAATGACATATCACAAAAGCATAATATACAGTCCAGGATCTGTTCCAGTCATAATATATCCCTGGCAACCTTTGTGAAAGGGATGGTCTGGTTCTCTCCCTATAAAGCAAAGGCTGGATCTACTCATGGATTTTATATAACATTTCTCTTTGCATGTGAAGGAGAAGAAAGCCTGTCCATAGACCCAATGGCAGAATCCATAGCTGTGACTTAGAGCCTAAGAAGGTTGAACTCAAAGGAAAAGGCAACATCCAGTTTGTCTTAGAAATAGCATTAAGTTTGGTTCTCCAAGCTGATGAGTTCCATGCCTGTAAGTCAAAGGCCAGATGAATGGGAATTCATCAGGATAGTAAGTAAGAGCTTTAAATCCAACTTCTAATTGAGTTTCAAGGCAATCTGTATGAAATAGCTATCTTTCCCCCCTAGAAATAGAAGCCGGATTAATAAATGGTCCAGGTCACTTACCTATTAAGAGCATGGATAAATGGAGAAGGGAAAAATCAACTGGTGGACATGATAGGAATCAGACAAAAACATGGTGGTCTCTCTTTTTAAACTAGTAATTACATTTTATCTTTTCTAACACTGACAACTGCAAACACAACATTGCCCACACAAATTTTACCCAATTAACTTGTAGGAAATGAGACTTAAAACCTATCCAATTTGTAACTATTTAGTGCACTTCTGTGCTCTCATGTGAGCAGCCTCTAAAATTTAAATAGTAAAAGCTATTTTAAATTCAGGCTGGGGCAGAAGAAAATACATTTAAAGCCATCCATTTGACTCAGTTGACAAAAGGTCAAATACTGAAAATTGACTTTAGAACTTGTATAGGTTTTTTTTAAATAGTCTCAAATCTAAATTTCATGTGGAAGAACGTATTTACCCTTTAAATGCTTACTTCAAAGATGTATGACATAGGGAACTGAAGACACTAACCAACATGACTGACCAGTTTCTCAACTTAGCTGATAATTTTAAAAAAGGAAATATTCGTTAGAGGGGATGGGAGGCTTGCTCTTAGATGAGATGTAGGATTAAGTAACATTTCAGGAACAGTGGTAAAAGTCTTATTGATACCCATTTTTGTCTTTTTTCAAGCATTCGATGTGTCCTGAAACTTTAAGGATCCCGAAGACGGAACCTGCCAGTCTTAGCACTATGCTGTGTCTACTAGTTAATGGAGCTTTTGGAAGAGGTGTAGGATCAGCTGAAGAGAAAATTCAGTTGTGATGGGAAAACTATCTGCTTTAGGATCATAGTCTCTATTAAATCATATGTAACCTGATCTCAGACGAATGATAAATACTAAATCCAGTTATGAAACTAATGCTGGTTGTGGTCATGAAATTAATGTTTTATTCTATACTAGTCACTCCTGAATTCTGACAGTGCCAAAATCTTTAAAGCTGCTTGATAGGTTTTTTTGTAAACACCACTTAAACTTTCATTCCTTTAGTCATTAATTTGTTTTCTCTAGTTCTAAAAAAAGTTATTAGGTGGAGCACGTAAGACCTAAAAGTCTGTGGGTTGCAGACATGCATAGAGGAACTTCCTCCCCATGCAAAATGGGATGGGGAAAAGACCCAGCTGTTATCTGCAGCAGCTTCCTAATCCTCATGCTGGGGGGATCTTCCTGCAGTGCTCATCAGCAGTAAAAGTTAAATGTTGCAGTTAAGCTCTCCCATTGCAGAGAACCCCATGGATGAAGGGAGGATATTTCCACTGTTTTATTAGTTCAGAGCTAGGCTTTTTTTCAAACCACAGCCACTAGATTCTTATCATGGGAAGCTTAGTTTCTGCAGATGATTGAACCGCCAGTGAAATACTGCACTACAGGCTGAAGCTGACCTTATCCTAACTATCTTTCATAGTACAGTCTAAGGAGAAGACTCTGAGCAAACTCCTGTCCTAACTTAACTGCTGTGGAAGCCCAGGGGCACGGGAGAGGGTGATTTAAATCAAGGCCCAACACCTAGCCAACTTGTCACCACTACAGTAAATAGCCCTAATTCTAAAAGAAACTTGTCTAAGACTTACCCTTTATTTTGAAAAAACATTAAAACTAGTCAAAGGTTTCTATGATGAAGTGAGCTGTAGCTCACGAAAGCTTATGCTCAAATAAATTTGTTAATCTCTAAAATGCCACAAGTCCTCCTTTTCTTTTTGTGGATAGACTAACACAGCTGCTACTCTGAAACCTGTGATGATGATGATGCAGTATGAGGCCCAAAGCCACAGCTGTGTGGGCTGTGATTAGTCAGCTCTGACAAAGTGAGGTGAGGGAAGTGCACTCCTTGCAACAATGCTGAAGGAAAACTGAGCATGGTGTAGAAAGTGATATTGGGGATTTACTTTCTTCCTCCTGGCCAGTAAACTGCTGCCCTAGCATGAGTGTGTGGAGCAATCTGTAGTAAATCTGATCAATTCTAAGGGCTGGACTAAGTAACATGAATATCCCATGGTAACTTCACAAGAATCTTTCTGGTTGTTCCACTCCTGCTTCATTTCCCATTTGGCTAATTAGTCTACAGTGCTGTAGTGTTACAGTTAACCAACTGTCAGCAAATCAGGAGTAAATAAGATATACTGGAGGCCTTCTAGCAGATATCTATAATGTAAATCTTCATTATCATTCCATACACCTGGCTATAGATTCAGATGTTGCAATTTATTTCAGTGTTTAAACATAGTTTCACTCTGACAAAGAAGTTTTAGTAGGAACTACCTGATCCACTTATAACTAGGCTGTAGTTCTGTTACACTTAAAGCTTCATCTGGTCTTGCATCTATTTAATTCTAAGGCAAAATTAAAGTAGGAAATGAAGAAGCCCACTGGAGCCATTCCAAGCAGGGTTTCTTAACCTGCAACTTCAAAGTCAGTCAGATATCAGTCCTGGTTAAGTCACAGCATCCATAACTTCCAGGATGCACTGCCTTTACTACCACACAAAGATCATGGTGTGAGTAAGTGTGTGACAGGGGAGAACCACTCACCCCCATTGTTAGAAAGATAAGTATCTGGCTCAATTAGTGAAAAAAACAGCTTTTGTCATACCTGGACAATTACTAAGAGGGACCCCTTACACCACCACCCACCCACGCCATAAATAAAAAGGCCTAAAAGCCATATAGTTAATATTTTGACCAGTTGACCACTCTATTAAATGGAGTAATTTTTTTGAGGTAGCAGCTGCTGAAGAATTAAACAGATAAGGAATATCATCAAAAGGTTTTCTCCTAATAGTGCTGATGAGGGACTAACTCTACTCTTCAAATGTAGCATAGGGAAGATTTACCAATTTTAAGAACTTTATGGGACAAATCTAACTCCATTTTGGAGCAATACAAGCCTGTAGGCCAAATCATTTCAATGGCAGTCATGTAAGGGATGGAGAGTTCACCCTGCTTCTCTTTCCTCCACTTCCCCTTCTAGTCATTCTTGTATCTGTTTGGGTTTATACAGTGCATCGTCTTCAGCATTAATTAGAACAACCTGTCTTCTGGAAAATATCTACATGAGTCAGCAAAAATTGCTAAACGCTACATGGAAATTTAAGCAGTTTCCCTATCCCCTTGTGTGGTTTGGGGAGTGAAGGAGGTGGTATAGGGAAACTGGTGAAAGGTAGTTCCAGAGCAACTACACATTTGTGCTTGTGGCAGGAGCCTTCAAATCAAGAGAAACTGTTAGAAATTTAACAAGACTTTTTTTAAATAACTTTTATAAGATTTAACCTATTTCCAAAATTTGGAAGACAAAGAAATATAGTCTGCATTTGTAAGCAAAACTACATAGATGCAGAGATATTAAGGTCAGAAGGGACCATTATGATCATCTAGTCTGACCTCTTGCACAATGCAGGCCACAGAATCTCACCCACCCACCCACTCCTGCAATAGACCTCTCACCTATGTCTGAGCTATTGAAGTCCTCAAATCATTGTTTAAAGACTTCAAGGTGCAGAGAAACCTCCAGCAAGTGACCCATGCCCCATGCTACAGAGGAAGGCGAAAAACCCCCAGGGCCTCTTCCAGTTTTCCCTGGAGAAAAATTCCTTCCTGACCCCAAATATGGCGATCAGCTGAACCCTGAGCATGTGAGCAAGATTCACCAGTCAGATACCCAGGAAAGAATTCTCTATAGTAACTCAGATCCCACCCCATCTAACATCCCATCACAGGCCATTGGGCCTATTTACCATGAATATTTAAAGATCAATTAATTGCCAAAATCACGTTATCTACAATTTGACACATGTAAAAATCTACTAGAAACTGGGGGGAAAAAATACTGAAATAGTGTGGGAGAAAAGCCAAACTAATCTGGTCTTCAGACTGATTTGCTATCTGGTGAGTAAACTAGGAGGCTGTCTAAATGAAAAGTTAATTTAAGTTTAGACCTTACTATATAATAAACATTAATTCAGAGATAACTGAAATGCTGTTTTAATTGTAGCTTACCTGCAGAATGCACATCATGGATTGTCTGTATTAAAGTTATATTGGTCTATTTAGTTCTCCTGGTGCAAATACTTAACACAGATGTGTATTAAACCATGCTTGTAGCAGTTTAGCACATAGTTAAATTAATGGAATTAAATCTACACTGGTTTAAATGCATCTATGGTAGGGATTTGGACAGGTTCAAACAAATTAGCATCTTTGAGGCCTGGACACATGCTATGTCCATTTTATATTATGAAAATACTGTTTCCATTAAAAGAAGCTGCAACTCTTAATTTATACGCCAAAGTCAACACTTCCCATCATGCATGCACACACAAAAAAAGCAAGACAATTGTACCCACTCAGGTGACTGGCATGGTGAGCAAATCTCCATGATAGTCATCCCGACTTTTAATCTCCTTAATACATTACATACATGGCACTGAACACAGGTAATTCCACTCAAGTATTGCAGTCTGTTTAGTTAAAATCTACACACGCACGCACGCACACAAACCATCTCAGGTCATTTTTTACTGTATCATTAAAAATAATAAAGGTAATGAAAATGTTATCACAATGATACTCTTACAGCAATAAAGGTTTGAGGCACTGTGGGAAAAGAAGACATTTTCTGGCAAGTTTCGTGTTTCGTTGTGACCACGATGGGTCCAGTTTTGTGAAGCATTAACTGCCCTCAAGTTTAACTGGAGCCAACGAGAGGTGAGGACACTCAGTACCTTCAAAGACCAGGCTCCCTATGTGACAAGAAGTCAGACACCTAGTAAAATGTGCACTTTATGCCCATGATTTTATGGTTTGATTTGTCTTCATTGGTTTAAGTTTTTCTGGCACTACAGTGTTGTACGGAAGACAGACATTAGGTCTGCAACTGTGGGTGAAATCATTTTCATTACTGATTCAGAAAAGAAAAAATCTCAGCAGAGACACTAAAGATTGAGAAGAGGGAGGAAGGGGTCAAAGGCTAATCAATTCCCATAGTCCTGGAGATGGTAGCTTTCAGATCAGGAGGGTGGCACGCTAGTCAAGAAGTATGAGGAAAATGGCACTACTGCTGCCCACACTGTATCTAGTCTGAGGGCAGAGCACTTCATTTTCCAGGCCTGTCAGCCTGACACCTTTCAAGAGCACAAAATTCAATTAAAAACTTTCTTAAAATTCAAGAAAACAACTAATACAGCAGCAGTAGTATCTAAGACATTTCCTCTTCACTCAAACATGAGCATTCTTTTGAAATAGTTTTGAAATTCGTCTTGCTGTAATGTCTTTCACTTTGCAATCCCCCTCCCCTCATATCTCTAGGGAAGAGGCCCCTCAGTAAAAACACACAGGAGCTTGTAAATCATTTTTTTTCTTGGTTAGCTGGCTCATTCCTTTCCCTGTCAAGTATGAAATAGCAGTTTCACAGTGAACTTTTGGAGCACCAAACTCTGCCAACCACTGCTCTTCAGAAAGGCAGCTCTTTGCCTGAAGCAATTTTCGTGATTTTACAAAAGCAGGGAATCAGCACTAACAATTTCCAGAAAGAGAGATGTCTAAGGTATCGATTACAGCAGAGGCAATTGACAAAGTGATGGGAAAGTACTAAATTTGAAGATAGATGAGTCTTGGTAACACGTACCTCTTTCTATGTACCAATTCTCCCTCTCTGATTATAAACAAAGCCCATTGGTTGCAGAAGTAGCTAAGCAGGTCTTTGGAATGAGAAACACTTAAAATCCCAGGTGCCACTCATACACAGACAAAAGCCGGGCACACTGAAGAAATGAGAAAAGACTTGATGCCCAACACGTCAAGTCCCCAGTGGGAAAGTAACCTGCACTTTCTAGCTAATACCATGCATGTGACACAAACAACTGCAGG